TGTGTGAGAGATCAAGTGTGTGTGCTGGCATGTCTCTGCACACGTATGCATGTCTGTGTGTGTTGTTTTGTGTTTTCGCCGCAGTCTTTGTACGAAAGATAACATCACTGACTCCTCCCAAACAACAGGGTGTAGAAACCTTTTCTACTCTACTCTCTCACACACACACACAACACACCCCAACACCACACACACAAATAAGGAGTGGAAATTTGGAAACAAAGGAAATTCAGGGATATGTGGGAAGGAGCTTTGCCATCAGGTGTAGCACTGTTTATAGAACTCATGTGGCACCCCGTGACCTAAAAGTGACCTGGAAAACCAGTGGGAAAGTCCTGCTTGTGTCCCCTACACACTGCAAATGTTTATACGCTGGATTAAAAATGGTGGAACACAAAGGGTAGGACACAACGTCTTTCTGAGGTTTGGCGCCAGAGGGAAGTGCATGGTCTCATTAATAATCTAGGCGGACTTCATCTTTAGGTTGAACAGGAAGGGGAAACGGGGCTTGTATGTTCCAAATTCAGGGTTGGGAAATCAATCATCAGACGCTGATGGACTTTTTAGGAGGAAGCCACATTTTATGAACTTTGTGAAATGATTCCTATCTGTGTTGGGATATTTCTGAGTGCTCAGACCCTCCTGGGATAAAATATTATATATTGAGTTATTTTTTAGGGCTATGGTTTGGTTTGAAAATAGAACCTTTTCTGTGTGGGATTAGCACCTGATCACTCATTAAGACTCTTTTCTTAAAAAAAAAAATAAAACATTGAGCATGGTTCATTAAGCTTAAACCACCAATCTAGGTAACATTTCTAGAAAAACTGCTTCTTCCTTCTCTACTCTGTGCTGCTTTGCCACAGTATTATAAATCACAGCGCACTCTGATGGATACACTTTGACACCAATGTATTACCACAAGCATTTTTGCTGCATTATATACTGGAATAAAACAGTTTTCATATGGGCACATATTGGATAACAGACAGCAATGCCAATACAACACCTGTATATAGGTATATATATATATTTTTTTCTTTTAGATAATATGTCGGACAATATTTAATGTTGAGGCACTAAGTACGGAGCGAGAGTCAAAAGCAGGGAGAAACAGCTCCACCAGATTCCATAGACAAAAACAATCATTTTATCTTGCATATCATCATAACATTGTAATTTCATTCAGAATGGACAGAAACAAAACTAAACAGTCTTTGTCAGTCTTTCCACTGTTCCAACAATCAACAACTCTGCTGTGGTTGAAATAAATACTTAATTTATCGATGTAGATAAGAAAAACAGCAGTTTCAGTGGCTCTACTCCGCTGCACACGGAGCAGAGCAGTAGATGTTGAGAAACTGTATGTTCTCATAAATACGGCCAACATCAACATCCTTCAGCAGGCCAGAAATAACGTGTGTGTGTGTGTGTGTGTGTGTGTGCTATATTGACACGGTTTGTAACTCTGTGCGGCTGCTCTTCACACATCATTACTTGGGAGTACAAACACACACACACTCATACACGTCCTGTTGTTATCTGTGAAACCTCAGCTCAGAATTAACTCTTTAAGCTCAACTGCCACAAACACACACACATGCACACACCCACACACACAGGTTGCGGGTTTATTATTGCTCTCTGTCTCACGTTTAGGGAGGTAAACCAGGCGAGGAAGGCAGAAAGGGAGAAAGTAAGAAATTAGGAAAGTAGGAAAGGAGAATCACCAACACACAGACTCTGTCTCTGTCTCATCCAGGGAGGTAAACCGGACCTGAACACAGCTCTGCCAATCAGACAGACAGCATCCATTTTTAAACAGCCCGTTACCAAGGTTACGAGTCACCCCGGCAACAAGGTGAAGACAGACCTGCAGAGAGGGACCGAGCAGCCCAGACAGGTGAGAGGCTGACGCACACACACACGCTCATTCTGGTGTCACAATGGTAATGCCTGAGGGCGAGGTCAAGCTGTTGGAGAAGTTGTCATGGAAACTGCAACCACAAGAGGGTGCTGAGGCATCATGGGAACAGCAGCATGACACAGACACACAGTGCCAGTGTTCTGCAGGAGGAATGAAAGATGGTGTGATGAAAGTGTAGAAAAATTAACAAAATGAACAGAAAGAATCATTAGACTCATCATTTATTCTTTTATGAGTTATATGTCTTTCATTAGGTAGTATTAAAGTGTATAATAGTGTAGGATAGTATGACTAGTAGTAGGACTGTTACTGTTATAAAATCATATTAAGAACTAAAAGATAAATCCTTTAAATGTATTCAAACGCAGCCGTGTAGCTGATAAGTGCACCTATAACTTGAGATTATTTTGTCACACAACAGATTTTAAATACGTACGGCATCGTTTTGATTCATAGTTTAGTGTACATGCGTACAGAGCGCTGATCGCGGTGATCAGAAGGTCTGCAGCGTAACGGTGTGTTTTCGCCTCGCGTTACTCATGGGATCATTTACTTGCAGGGCTGAAAGTCACCGTTTAATCCTGCATACAACGGTGGTGTGATCCCAAAATAAAGAGATTTAACTGTTATTTAATTGCAATAAACGGAACAAAAGGATGCCGAAATAACTACATCACAATGCCAATTTGTAAAACGTGTGAATTCTGGGGGGGGGGCCGTCCACAAGACGATGAGCAAACAACTTTTAAAATGTTCAGTTCGGATCGATAAGGGCTATGCTAACTTAGTTCATAGTAAAGTAAAACCAATAGCTAGACTCAAGTAACAGACCCATATAGTGGTTGTAAACGTAAATGTTGGATGTTACAGGGACAGCAACTTTAAATGATTTATGCTGAATGAATTATGAATATTATGTTTGGATACATTCGAGCCATTATTTTCCCGTGTAAGTAATCTTTTCCTTTGCTCCTGAATTGTGAAACTCTTTGTAAAGTCTATTTCAACATGAGCTCTATAAATGAATCATCAGTCATCCTCCTGACCCTTTATAATGATGACTGAGAAATTGTGCGATACCGTAATGATGGTTTACAGGTACATGGGATGAATTAGTGGTACAGGCGCTACAAATATCCCCATCTGTGCATATTGGTCGCCTATAATGACAGTTTTGAGTTTTTAATGACTTTTAGTGCTTTTAGAGAACCTCACTGATGCAACACAGTTGCACTTCTTCTTTGCAGTTATTTTTGTTGACAGTTCTAATGAGTGGTGGAGCAGGCACAAGTATCGGTATGCAAATGGCTGTTTAAGAGCATTTCTGCGTCCATTTAAGGCAAACTGTGGGGGTAGAAATGAGGCTTGTGATGCGTGTAGTTTCATTTTTGAGGAGGTGCGTGTCAGCCACTGTAGCCTACGGAGTAACCTCAGAGCCTACTCACCTGCAGCAGTGTCAGATTTTTATTGTATGATAACCATCATCTAACCAAAATATCGCGGTTTCATGGTATAATGGTATAAAATATTAGACAATTATGACTTTTATTATCAGTTACAATGACCCTTAAAGGAATTTGTTTTGTTGCCAAGTGCAATTTCCAAATTGCAAAAGCTGCAGGTAAAATGTGTGAGAGAGTTTGCATGTTCTCCCTGTGTCTGCGTGGGTTTCCCCCACCATGTTCTCCATGAGATCTGGAGTTATTCCCTGGGCGCGGTACAGTGGCTATCGTCAAAGCTTCATGGGGGGTCCGGAGGCCTTCTTGATTTTAAGGCGTGCCAGAAAACTTTGAAAATATACACAGTAGGTTTACTTTACTTTACTTTAATTTCCGTAAGAATTCTGCATTGTTGGTATACCTCTGTGACGTTTTCTGTAGGGCAGGATCAGTAGTAAAGATGTTGTGGTTGTATTTTATTGTACTATTCATCCCTGCAACACTTGCTATAAAACATTGAAAAAATAAAGGCTATGAAATGTCCAGATCTAGATGTAGTCTAGCTTTTTTTTTACCAATGAGTCCATCACCTGGAGGCGATAAAGCTGCAATTCCTGCATCTGCTTCACACTAAAAGCCTTCCAGTGGTTGCCATTGGAAAGCTCTTATTGTGAAACAGCTACAGGAAGTATTTGGTTGGCATTAACAGGATCTTAACACAGCAGCAGACTCCAGCTGGGGCAAGGGGCAGATCAGAGTGAAACTACCTGAAACTACAGCCAACCGTCTGCCGTCTGTCTGTCTGCAGCTGTTCTGGGAGAGGAGGTTGAAAGGTCTGCGGTCATCAGACGTCACAGGGGAAGTCCTGCGGACCATGAACCTGCCCAAAGGACTGCAGAGTAAGTCTCCATCATGATCCTGGAACACACGCTCTGCTCCAGTCCTGACGCCTGACCTCTGACCTCTCTCTCTCTCTGCAGGCGTCGGTCCGGACTCCAGCGATGACAGTCTGCTCTCGGCCATCGCCAGCGCTCTGCACATGAGCTCTGCACCGATAACGGGACAGACGTCTGTGGCCGCTGAGAAGAACCCGGCCATCTGGCTGAACACGTCCCAGCCACTCTGCAAGGCCTTCACCGTCACTGACGAACACATCCGGTGAGACACAGTCTTTGTCTTCTTTTTTGTCTCACAGTAGTCACTGTTTGTCCAGCGCCTATCTGAACACTCAGTACTGCAGGTAGTGCTGTGTACTTGTGACATTTTAACCTAAAAGATGATGAGGAATGTGTTTCTGCTCCTGACTTTAGGACTGAAAGCATGCTAACGTGCTAATAGAAGCATTTTGGGACAGTTTGAAGTGTTGGTGTTGTCACTGTTTATGTTTGCTATGTTTCCTACTTTACATTCTTACTGTCAGCCTTGAACCTCTGTATGTGTATTGGTACAATTGCTTTTATTGTTTCTTTCGACGTATTCACACTGATACATTCCATCATATTGCATCAGGTGTCTTTGCAGCTCATTGTTTCTGTTTGAAAACAGAAACGACACAATCTTTCTGTTCCAAATGAAAAGTTAGTTACTTCTGCTGTTTAGCACATTTACTGGAGATGATGAATCATCTCATCGATTTGATTCTTCATAGATTTGTATCGCAATTTAACGATATTGTGACATATTGTTACATTCCTAGCCTGCGATCAGCACCATATTTGGATATTTGGATGTCTGCTTGTGGCTGTGACTCCAGTGTGTTTCTAAGCTCATCAGGCAGCTACAGAGATATTTCAATCAGAATCAGAAACAGAAATCATATTGATCCCCAAGGAGTAATTTGTTTTATTACAGTTGAAAATAGCAATAAGAAGAAGAACATTAAAAATATGTATTAAATTACAATATTTAACAACAATATATATAGAAACTAGATAGAAAATAAAATAGAAAGTATATACATTATAATACAACATCTGCTCAATATCAGAGAAACATGTGAAAATGTCATTTCCACCCTCTGATAAAACCCTGAAGCGTCCCCCTCTCCAGCCTGAAGCCGATTAGATGAGTGCAGATGACTGATGCGTGCTGGATGGGGGGAGTAATAAGTTGTAGGGAGAGAGGAGGATGAGAGGGTGATGAGAGAGACGATGAGAGATGAGGACTAATGAAGCATGAAAGAGGAGGAGGAGGAGGAGGAGGAGGTCGAAGAAAAGCAGCCGCCACCACTGTCAGGCTGGGACATTTACACCAACCTGTGATTCAAAATAACATCCAGGTAGCTGCTGAAAGAGAGGAAGCAGCTGTGAAGTCAGTAATCAGCTGAAAATGATCACCTGCTGTAACAGAGTTGTACAACACTGGGAAAGGACAACAACAATCGCACATTACCTACACGTCCCATTTACCTCCATCATCCACTCAGCTTTTAGAGTATGTCCTGATGGGAGGAAAGAAAACACATTACTTTAATTACTGAGTTAAAGATTGTATAATCACTGTTTTTATGTTATTAATGTATACAGTGTTTTAAATAACATAGATGTGGTCATTGTATGTGAATGTATGTGAAAGGCGTCGGTCGCAGTGATGACACAGATAACTGACTGTAGTTACCCATAGCTCTTTGGAGCATTTTAGCCTCTTTTATCGCATTGTTTTGGTTTTTACGGTCTGCAATGTTTAGGAATTTGGTTCACTCACTGCATTCGCCGCTGTCATTTCCAGATGCAGCAGGCAGCTGTTTTCATAAAGAACCTCTGTGGCTGTTCATTATCTTCCCAACACCAAACAGCAGACGGACAAAATTGGCGACTAGCTTTTGAACTTTGAGCCAGATATTCTGTAGTTGGTAGAGACCATAAAACAGACTCAGTTGACCCTTCCTAAGTCCCGCCCCTTTTTGCTCTGTGCTCCAATCACAGTTGATCTAGCCTCGGTCAGAACCTCGGTCAACTTTCTGCTTTCCTGTGCTAGGCTAATCTATGTTGAAAAATACTTCTACTTGTCCACTAGTCCAGGAAAGCATCAGTGACCCGAGATCATTATTAAACCACAACCGGGTGGTCGAGGCTCAGGAGGTAGAGCGGGTCGGTTCGATCCTCGGGAGTCATGAGCAAGATACTGAACCCCAAACTGCTCCTGATGCTGTGTGTGAATGTAAATGAATAAATATTAGTTTCTGTTCATCACTGTGTGAATGTGACATGTAGCACTTTGAGTGGTTGCACTGATAGAAAGATGCTATATAAGGACAGTCCATGTAACCTGTGTTTCTTTATGTTTATTAATCGGGCCCCTTTTACACCAAATTAGTTCTGGTTTTTGATTTGTGGAACCTTGGTGCACTCTAGCAAACCCACTCGCTTTTTTCACCAGTTTTGAGTACGACTATTGTAATCAGGTGCATCAATAATGGAGCGCGCTGCACAATGCACAACGACCTGCTGAACATGACACGCCCACTTTGGTTCCCAATTAAAACCTGATATTTTTTGGTTCCAGCTCGGAACCAACTTTTCAGGTTCTGAACCAATTTAGTTTTGGTATAAGTGCTCTGAATGCTTCGAAACTAGTTGCTTGCACTGGAACGGATCCGGTTCCCTGTTGGTGGAAAAGGCCCGTCAGTGGTCAGATTGAACAGGTTTAAACTGATCTGTCAGTCTACAGTATGTTTAGCTAATATCCGATAGTGCTAACCCGACACCAGACTTCTGTTTCTGTTTTGAAGTTTTCAGAATATCTTTGCTACAGCAACTCACCTGTTAACTCCAGTTCCTGTTTAAATCTGCACAGCTTTTGATGCTAAGCTTCCAGTTTCTTTGACTGCTGCTTTCTTATATTCTTATTGAACTGTTGCTCAGAGGGAACTTTTGTCTCTTTTGCTCTTTCAGTTGTCAGTCTGGTTGAACCACTGTACCACATTTTGTTCTCCAGGTACAACATATTCTTAATCTATTTGTAAAGAGGGCTTTCTCCAATCTAAACCAATGAAAGAGCATTCAGAAAAATAGAGCAGTCCTCTCAGCCAGCCCACTGTACCAAATCTAGAGGACAAAAAAAAAGTCTGCTGATCAGTCAGCTGATTATCCTGTCATATATTGTTGTTGTTGTTGTTGTTGTTGTTTCAGTGCTGTCCTCTCCCCTACTGTCTGTAATTTATTGAATAAGAGTCCCTGTAAACTACAGAGACAGTTACTGCAACCTGACAGCAGGGGGCACTGTGGGGACACACACTGACTGACTGACTGACTGAGTGTGTGTGTTTAGAAGATATTAAACAGAGAATATTTTGCTTACAGCTTAAACAATTATTAATAGTTGATTAATTGACTGGACGATTGACTAAAATATAAATCACCTGAACTGAACATGTTTGATAATTGATTATTTTGATGAATTACTCATTTGAGTCACTTATCAAGCTAACCTGTCAACTATTCTCCGCCCCGTCGATGATTACAGCTGCAACTCACCTGCAACTCATCCTTTCCATTATCAATAAAT